CTGAACTTAGCCTGCCAGCAAGTCTTCCCCATCTACAGTGAATCAAATGTGCTACCCATATCTCCTTCCATCCTCCTAAATAACAGCTATAAGGTAAGCAGGGAGCACTGTGTTTACTCTCAGCAAGCTAAGCACCAAAGTGTTTCAGCCCAATGAGTTTTGCCCACGTGGTTGGGCAAGTTGTGAATATCAGATCACAAGCAAAGATAATTCATAGCACTTGGTTTCATTTCTCAAAGACTCACTGGGATAGCAAGTGCCTTTGAAATAGTTTTTTTTTCCTCTTGCTTCTCCTTAACATCTAAATTAGATGTCTTTCCCACCAGCACAGTGCTCAGCCCAGCCCTGAGGCATTTGAGAAAGCTGTTGGGAGTCTGGATACGCTCAGATCTAACAGGAATGTGCCTTAACTCAGGACCTTTCTGATTTTGCAGAATACCTGATTTTGTGGATCAGTCCAATTAACCTTTTCAGGCCTAAACCACTTCACACAGTTCAACTATTGGAGTAAGAAAAGAGGTAAAAGTTTTTAACATCACAGTCTGCCATTCCAAGAGAGCAAGCCCAGACTGACCATTTGAATGCTGACTTTTTGTAAGAGTACATTGCAATCAACCGTAGAATCACAGAGTCATAGAATGGCCAGGGTTGGAAGGGACCTCAAGGATCACAAAGCTCCAACCCCCTGCCACATGCAGGGCCACCAACCTCCACATTCAATACCAGCCCAGGCTGCCCAGGGCCCCATCCAACCTGGCCTTGAACACCTCCAGGGATGGACGGGGCATCCACAGCCTCTCTGGGCAGCTGTTCCAGCACCTCACCACTCTCATAGTACAGAACTTCCCCCTGACATCCAACCTAAATCTTCCCTCCTTAACTTAAAGCCATTTCCCCTTGTCTTGCTGTCATCTACCCTTTCAAAGACTTGAACCAACCTTGGAGACAGATTTTCTTCAGTATCTATTTCCCTTTGTAGCCAAATTTATGTCAGCTTTAAGACATACGTCCATAGATGGGAGTAAATCACTGTGTCCCAGGATGATTGCCTTTGTCACTCCCAAGAGGAACAAAAAGAGGAACCATGGGGGGTTGGTATGAAACATCTGTAGGGTCTCTTCCTTCCATCCCCCATGGTTCTATGAAAACTCTGCCAGTCTCTTTTGTTCTTTGTACATCTACATCCTGTAGATGTGATTATTTTATGATTGGATTCCCTGATCTTTTGCTTCAATACTGCCTCTTACCTTGATGCAAAAATGGTGCCACACTCTCATGAAGAAGATCATATATCAGAGATACATTCTCCAGGTCAGCATTTTAATGCACGCAGCCCAGCTCAAATGCTACATGTTCCTGATGAGAGTAGGAGGCACTATGGCTGTGCAAACTAATTTTATTTTCCACTACATGAACTCTCCTTCCAGAAAAACATTCATCTGTTTTTTGAGGCCAAGCATACATTTCTTATTTATGGCCATGAATGGAAAGTGAGGAATCAACATAAAATTCAACTGCTCCTTTGAATACTGGTGTGTTGAAAGTAAATTACAAAGATATCATTTGCCCCTCAAGAACAAGAAGAACGTCCCAACCATGTTGAGAATGGAGAGGAACAGGTCAAGGCACTGTCAGGCTGCTGTGAGGAGGTATTTCAGAGGAGTGATCCTGACTGGAAACAGTTTACAGCACTGCAATTACTGTGAACGCTCCTTCTAGCATAAAATAATTATTTCTGGTAATAAGTTATTCAATTTGTCATCATTCGTATTGAAAGAAGGAAGATCTAATATAAAGGCTTTAATATTTTAAGCTAAATTAAGAAATTTCTCCAGGCTGATACTAAACTCCCTGAGTGATTCACTCCCCAAAACCTGTCTAGGTGCACACAAGAAGTGCACTTTACCCAGACAGAAGTGGGGTTCTGGCACTCCTAGCCAAAGAGGCTGTGGACACCCCATCCCTGAAGGTACTCAAGGCCAGGTTGGAAGGGACACTGGCAGCTTGATCTAGTGGATGGCAGCCCTGCCCATGGCAGGGGATTGGAACCAGATGGTCTTCGAGGTCCCCTCCAACCAAAGCCATTCTATGAAGTTGATACCCAGAAAATCAGTGCATCTCTCCTGTAATGGGAAAGTACAACTGCATTTCTTGTACATACCACAAATAATTACTACTTCTCAACATACTCGTTTTGTGTTGTTTTTTTGTTGCTACAGGATACTAAAGGGAACAATACTGCCTCCACTCAATTTCTGATGGATTAAGCTCTGTGCCCTCACAACCACAGCACAAGAGGGATGACTGCTGTCTGTTTTTGGCATTTGCTGCCCAGACTAAAGCTGCTACCTGACCTGCAGCAGCCAAAAATTCTAGAGAAATGTGACACCAGATGTGTTCATGAGGAGAGCTGCTGCACGCTTTCAGAAAACCTTCCCATGCTTCTTCATCTCTCCCAGGAACCAGAAGTGCAGAGAGGAGGCAAGGTAAGGTAACACTAGCTCCACTTTGCCCTGCATCTTCTCCTCAAAGAGAGGGAATATTGGAATATTTTCATATCTTTGTGGCCAAAAAAAAAAAAAAAAAAAAGCTTTCATTGACATGCACAAGATTTACACTGCTCAGAGTAACAGAAATAGCAGGAATGGCATGGATGTAATTCTGTCAGGACAGACAGCAGGTAGAAGAGCTAAACATTTTGCAAGGTAAGCAACAGGTGCTTCCTAGATCCCACAAATAACACAATGATATGTAGCCAGCTTGACCCCAGAAGCACGCAGGTAGCCAGAAAATCAAAGCATACAGGTATCTATTTGCTTTCTCTAATTTGGGATCTTTCAGAAACTATTTTGCCCATTTTAACCAATCAAAGAAATTTGTCCATTTTTCACTTGAACCCCATTTGCTGAGGCTCCCTCTGGCTTGGCAGCAGCCAGGAGCATCTGCAGCACGATTATCTCCTGCACAAGGAGCCAACCAGGAGAGACCTGCTGGTATCAGCTGCATATTCCAACCCCCCATTAGCAGCTCTCCAGAATGGTTTACTGTGGCATCATCCTGTGATGACAAAGCTGAAGCAACGGTTGAATGGATCGATGAATTTTTAACCTCAGATTTGCTGCTGTTGGACAAAGCACGCCTGCACAAGCAGCAAACTCTAGTACAAACCCAGCTAAGTTACGCACAGAAAACCCCTATACTTACTGTGGAATCAACTCAGCTTAGGATAAACTTTTCTTCAAGCATGAAAGAATTGAAATTCAAATATTTGAAACTAGAGTTAAATAACATTAAGGCTGAGAAAAATACCGTCCTATTTCTAAGTGAGTGACACTCTCTAAAAAGCTTTAAGGTTCCTCTAATTTAATAATTTATTTCACTTGCACGAGCTAAGTAAGCATAAAATGATTTCTCCCCACTGCTTTGCTTTGTTCATCTGCTGCAGTTCTATGTCTGGGTAGTTTAAATGGAGAAGCATGTTCAGCTTAAGAAAAAAAAATGGAATGGGTTAGAAGAAAAACCTTTCTAACACTCCCAAGGGTCTACGGGTCCTTCAACCCAATTTGACATGAATGAAAGCATTATTGTTCTTTTGACTCCTGCTGAGCCATTATGTGAATGGTTTGTTAGAGACTTGAGCAGCCTTTTACACATGTTTTCATCATTCTACAAACCAGGATTCTGGTCCTGAGACATCAGAAATTTCAACCTTTAAAACAGTTTTTCTTCTATGTTATGAGAAAGCAATATACATTTCAGACAGACATATGCAAGGGCATTTGAAAACAACTGAGCGAAAAACACGTCTCTCTCTTTCTCTCTTTGTATGCATTAATCAATTGAACATATTAAAAACTGCAGCAACAAAGAGTCAATCAAGCAAATGAAACTGAACACACCCACTGACAGATATTTCCTGCCATAAAAATGCTCACACATTGGATGGGAGGGAAGAGTCACACCCTAATAAAATGTAACAGAGAAAACAATACAAAGGGTTAAAAGGTAATAAAAGGATTATTATCAAGCTACGTAAACTAAAAACCTCAAAGTGACATTTTACTGCATTAAAATGGGAGCTTTGATGATCCAGCTGGTGTTTCAACTGCCTTAGAGCCAAAATACTGACTTTTAAAAAATCTTTACACCACCACCATGTAATAGATGGTTGCTGTACAGCCCTTCTGAATTAAAGTTGCTTTCAAATAAGTTGCAGAAGAAATATCATTCCAAATCCAATTCACCACTTTGGCTCAAAAAAAAAAAAGGAAAGTAGGATTTGAGTAATTAACACAATACTTCATCTACAACTGTAATAGTGTAATAATGAAGTAAATGGTGGACAGCTTGATATCTAATGCTCTTAACTGCCTTCTGTCCCTGCGACAGCTCAATTAAACAGCAGGCAGGTACATGTAATTTTCTTTACAGACAGAACTGAAGAGCTGTAAGCTCTGACTTTTCTCAGGAGACATTTCAAATCAGATTGAAACACAGAGTTATTTCTGACATGTGCACGGATTGCTCTAAAACAAGCACAGAACGTGTAAGCTGATCAAGGCAACAGAACTGTTAGGGAAGACCAACACAATCCAGAAAAAGCTTACTGCTTACTGGAGGATGATTACAGCTCAGCTTAAATGCCAACACTCCTACCACATCTCTAGAGACCAACAATAAACTCACGAAGATCTGTTCATCAAGTTGGTTTAAAACAGCATCTTTATAACCCGTGCAGGTTCCACACAGCCCAGAAACACCAAAGACATTATCTATAACAAAGAAGTACCAAGCAGCTGATGCAAAGCTCCAATTTTCCAATAATACTTAATCTTCCAGAAGGTCTAAGCCTTTATCCCAATAACTTGAGTAGGGCAAGAACTTCCCTTATGGGAATAGCACCACTTTCAGTAGAGATGACAATAAAGACTTAACACAGCCCCCCAACATCCAGTTTCTGCACTGCTGAACACTTTGACACTTGATATTGATTTCCTCACCTGGTAAGGACACGGGATGTGATATTCCCTGCAGCGTTCTTGAATCCACGTCGTCTCCCACACCCCTCGATAAGCCTGCTCATAGAAATAGCAGCCAATTACAACCAACAGTGGCACGAGGTACAGAACACTGAACACGCCAATCCGGATCATGAACTTCACTAGCTTGTCCTGGTTCTCTTTTTCTAATGGGATTTCAATGCGAACCCGATTGAGAGAGATAATGCCAGCTAGCAGAAGGGAAACTCCAACAACAACATACAGGCAGAGGGGTGCAAGTACAAAGTATCTTAATGCATCCACATCATAGAGGCCAACAAAACATACGCCGCTAATATTGTCACCTTCAATTTTATTCATTGCTAAGAGGACGATGGTTAGAGTTCCTGGAATGCCCCAGGCACTGGCGTGGAAGAGCAACGCTTTCTTCTCGATCGCTTCACTGCCCCATTTTGGCACAGCTGCCAAGAACCACGTGATGGTAAGAATGACCCACCAAACACTGCCAGCCATGGTAAAGAAATAGAGCACCATGAAAAGCATGGTACAGGCTTTGTTGTGAGAGCCCTGTGTCACTGTAGAAGCCTTGTACTGGGCAGGACTAGACGCGTTACACGCTACTCGGTCTTCAAGCAGAAAGCCAATGAAGAAGATTAATGACACCATCATGTAACAGACGGCGTAAAATATTATCGGTCTTTCTGGATAGCGAAATCTTGTGACATCGATCAGAAAAGTTAAAAAAGTAAACAAGGTAGCAGAAAGGCAGACGATGGAGATCACTCCGATGAAGTAGCGAGCAAAGGAGAGCTCTTCACGCCGGAAGTACATATTTGGACAAGGAGGGGAACAGTCCCGTACCCTCAGGAAAGAGTAACCCAGATCGGGGTCTATTTTCAACTCTCGAGGACACCAAAAACCATAATCCCTCTGTACCGCCATGGGGGCCTCTTCTGTGGGCTCCCCACCCAAACTGAGGTCAACAAGACGAGGATATGGCTCATCACAATCCGGGAATCTAGAAAGTAAGAAAGAATGATTTACAAGAAAGACATGTGCAATGTGCAAAGGCTACTAGCCTCATTTACATGTCTGACTTTAGGCACAGTGACTGGAAAGAAAACAGAGGCAATCCACATAACAGGTAATCCACAAATTACTACGCCATACATAATCAAGCTTTAGAACTTACTGTCCCAGACTGCAGTAGATGTCAAAACTATAAAATACGTGTGAAAATAGAGAAACAAGTGGATAAGGGGAATGTTGAGGCCTTAAGCATAAAAGATACACAATTCACGTCAGGAAGTCTCTACATTTTGCTTTACCATGCCCAAGGAAGAATGATTTTATAGAGCATGTAAAGCCCTTTCCCTACACAACCCTACTAGCTGCTATCAGGCAGGATACCATGCTAGTTAAACCAAACATCCAACTAGCATTAATACTAGCATTAATATATTGAAATTAGGATGAAGATATTTCTACAATTAGGGCAAGGTGTGCTGAGATGCAATCTTACACTTTCAGTAAGTTTGGCTGTTTGGTTCCTCCCTCTGTCAGACATTACTGCCTCAGCAAGTGCAACATAAACTAAACATGCTTGCTTCTGTGCCACAGTGCATGTTTTGGTGTACTGACACTAACAAAGCATGAATGAAGCTGTAACATTATTTCTGTAATGTAAAGCTGAAAACATCTTTCCATACAACATGAGGCAGACTCTCTGAAAACAGAGCTTTGAGATTTTAGATGCTCGTTGAACTCTGCCAGCTCCCCTCAGAAAAACTGACCCTTCATCTCCAGGCATATATAACTTTGCATGCCTCTCAGAAGAATTTAGCACCATGTATTCTACTTTGGTATTTCAGACAAAGCCAGGTCTGCATACATGATGAGGAAAATAGGTACATTCATTCATTAGAATGAGAATATGTATGCACTTCTGAGAGGAACTACCTATCTAAATTTTCAATTAATCTCTTGGGTAGATGACAGAAATATGAATCTAGTTTCCTCACAGAATCACAGAATGGCCAGGGTTGGAAGGGACCTCAAGAATCACAAAACTCCAACCCCCCTGCCACATGCAGAGCCACCAACCTCCACATTTCATAGCAGCCCAGGCTGCCCAGGGCCCCATCCAGTCTGGCCTTGAACACCTCCAGGGATGGATGGGGCATCCACAGCCTCTCTGGGCAGCTGTTCCAGCACCTCACCACTCTCTTGGTAAAGAATAATATCTGTTTCAAATCATAAAATATCCCAGAAGGTACTAAAATTTCAGTCTGGGATTGTGAAACAACAGGTTTGCTCACCTGGTACACTCCATATCCTCAGGCCAAGAGACTCCAAACATCTCCATGAGCTTGGAGCATTCGCTGTACGCTCTTTGGCAGAGTCTGCGACATGGCAGAGTGACACGGCCATACTCCATGCACACGGGAGCGTAGAGGGCACAAAGAAATGGTCGAAAATCTCTGGAACATTCCAAATTCACCATCGGATGAAATGGCTACAAAAGAAAAGGGAGAATTCAAGAGCTTCAGCTAGCAGTTTTGTAGAACACGTCAGCAGGAAGCTGTAATTTGATTCATGAGGATTTAGGGCTTCCACAACCCTAACCATAACCTTCTTTTCCTGAACAATGCCTCTCGGAAGATGTGATCATCCTAATCCAGCACTTATGTTTTTAGGAAGACAGGCAATCAAGAAGCCTGGGGACAACAACAAAGACTCACAAGGGACATTTATGCATGCAATCTGCATCAGAATCAATGGGAATTAGATAGCTAAACACCTTTGAGGATTCGAGCTTAGACAAATATTCTCCACTAAACATCATATGAACTTCTTTATGTTGCTTGTTTAAATGACAGACATATTGTGAATTGCTAGCTGCTTATTTAGTAGGATAATATGAAAAACTCACATTCAATTGATGAGATCACAATCTGGGTAATACTGGATAATGCAAGACTCCTTCACAGTACAGAAATAAAACTGTGATTTTTTAAGATACAGTTTACTGATTAGATCATCTGAAAATCAATTCTTTCTTGAATTATTTTCAGAAGGGCTAGGTTCTTCATTTTGATTGCTTCTGTAAGATGCAAACACAGGACATTTTCCATTACATTCTTTCTTCATCATGTCTTCTGTTAAAATCTCAGCTCTATCAGCAGGGTGTATCTGCAGGCAGAAAGCAATCCCAACACGTGTGCTTCCTCAGTCACATACACTCATAGGCTCCAAGAATACAGCTGTAAGCACAGTGAAGCTACAACAAGTATGCCTGTCTTTACCTAACCAGAAAGCATCAGTAAACGAAAGCTTGAACAAAACTAATCAGAAAAATAAGTGGTATCTTGTGCTACTTCTTGTCTGATAACAGGTTCAAGTAACACTGATAATGGTGATAGCTCCTTGGAAGCACTGAGGGAAAATCTATCACAATTAGCCAACATGCAGCTGTAATTAAGCATTTTGAAAGGTGAAATATAAGGAAAGAAATAGAGCAGGGATTTACAGACTTGTGAAAACTGATGCACGTTGATAAACCATGCTACCTTCTTACTATCATGTGGCCCTCCTTACTGTTATGTGGACCTATTTTAGGGCAATCAAAATGATCCCAGGGATGGAACACCTCTCCTGTGAGGACAGGCTGAGAGCCTGGAAGAGAGGGGGGCAGTGAGAAGGGGCACTGACTCTTTAGCAGGATCTGCTGTAACAAGGCAAGGGAAATGGTTTCTCACTAGAAGAGGGAAGATTTAGATTGGACATAAGAAGTTGTTTACAGTAAGGGCAGAGAGGCACTGGCACAGGTCACCCTGAGGGGCAGTGGTGCCCCATCCCTGCAGACAGCCAAGGTCAGGCTGGATGGGCTCTGAGCTCTGATGGAGCTGTGGGTGTCCCTGCCCACTGCAGGGCATTGGGCTAAATGACCTTTAAGGGTCCCCTCCAACTACATAATATCAAAACACATTAGAATACAACAAAACAGTGTAAGAATTATTGAATTATTCTGCTACCTCCAAACTGGAGAAGTAGCTGAGGCGCTTTAGTAAGCCACTTCTTTTTCTTTAATTTATATTTCAGACAATAACTTGAAGGAGAAAGGTGACAGTCCTTGGCCAATGGCAATACTAAAGGGTACTAACGTGAACTCTAGGCAGATTTTTCTAACAAGTCCATTACATTCATCCCAGCCTCCTCTGCACAGCCTTGCAGGATTAGCAACACATCTAATCTTTGCACTGTGCTGCACTGGCAGGACACAAATGAAATGGCTATATATAGTAAAACCTAAATCTTACTGTAACCACAACTGAAGAGTAAGCTGCTTTGAGAGCTAGAAACATTGTATTTTTAACACCCTCTGCGTGAAAAACTTCCTCCTAAGATCTAACCTAAACCTCCCCTGTCTCAGTTTAATACCATTCCCCCTAGTCCTATCACTATCAGACTATCTTAAGGTGGGGACATCCACGTGCACCTGGACAATTTGATACAAGATCCATCCTCTGATGGGCACAGCAGACAGCATGCAGGCTCTGTGCAGAAACTCGCTCCCATAAGGCAGGGCAGCTGGAAGCTGGGTAGAAGACACTAGAACATCTGAAATAACACTGATATAATTGAATCTCCACTGGCAGAGTTCCTTGTGCCCTAGAGGGTATGTTAGCTGTGCTTAAGGTTCTTTATCACTGCAAAGAGCAAGTCTGGTTTTGAGTATGGTCTTGGCAAACTCCTCAAAAGACAGCACAGACAAACTAAGGCCAAACAAAATGAATGAAATCTACTTAAATAGGTATAATTTAA